AAAATTCTTAATCTTTCAATCTGAATGCGATTTCAACCTTATCAGCACCACATTAATTTTTCAACTCAATTACACATCAAAGATTAAAAATTAAGGGTCAATTCTTTTTTTTTTTTCCCATAAAATTTTAATCCTTAATAATTACATAAAAAAAATTTATTTAATTTTTCCTTTTTTTCCCCACACTTTCTATCATTTTCGATTTTCTACCATTTTTGTTTCCAATTAAACGGTCCCTTGCACCCTTGTTTTAATTGTAATCTGTGATGTCTCTCTCTCTCCACCACATCTCTAGCTCGCCGGCCTGACGCGGCGCCGCCCTATAATGACTCCAAGTGAAACTTACCCACAGAAAACTGCCACCCATTTCATTAACTGTTCTGTCGTTTTGTTTCATTGAAACAGAACGAAACCCAAATCGCTATCTCTCTCTCTCTCTCTGAGTACTTAATTAGGGTCACAATGGGCGGTTGTTCTTCATAAACGTAGTTATTGGTGTATGTTATGCTCAATTTTGTCACCAACACACCATTTCTTTGTGAATTAGTTAGTGGGTACCCCATATATCTCCCGAAATCCTTCGATTTCATCTGAATCTGGTGGTTAATGATAGGCGCGGGGACACCAATTTGGTCACAGAAGTGAAAGACGGGAATAATAACGTCTCTGCTTCCATCAGGGTATGTTCTTTGATGGGTCTCTCTTACGATTGAGATAGAGATATATACTCTGTTTTCTTCTGTAATTCACCTTTTTTGTTCTCTGAAGATTTCGATCTAGATGACGTTGTTGTGATGGGCGGGGATGCCTATTTGGTCCTAGAAGTGAAAGGAAAGAGTATAATTATGCCTCTACTTCCACAAGGTTTGTTTTTTCAGGTGTATCTTTAATATAGTTTTGGTATGTATGGTGCGTTTATGTGGTCACAGAATTGAAAAGACAGAGAATAACTATTCCTCTTTTGATCTTTTTCCATCGAAGGTTTCTTTTATGACTCAGGTTGTATTATGTTTTAATTTCCAATTCACCTTGTGGTTTCAGTTGTTTTGTTGAATTTGAGGTGTTCATTCTTAGGCTGATATAAAGGTTATGTGTGATTCTCTGTGTTCTCTTAACTGATCTTAATATTCTAATTTCACACTTTGGAAACTTGGCATGAAACTATGTTAAGGTTTTGTTGTTCAAATAATGGAAAGTTTGCCTTTTCTTGTCATGTGGTGGTTTTGTGATATAACAAATTTGATCGAATTTTGTTTTGAAACAAAGTTCATTTCATTCCTTGTGTTGTGTATAAGATTTGGAAATGGTTCCAGGCTTATACGGTACAGGGGACACTAAATGAGAGTCAATTCGTAAAGATTTGCCTATTTGGATGTTTTAATGCTACCTCTATTGTTGATTTTTTCATTATTTTTTTTGAATTTCTTGATCCATTCTCCGGAATGGATGGTGTCTGCAAGTTGCTGTATGCTAAGTTTCTTCTTCTGGTTGAGAACGAGCCATTGTGGCTAACAAGATAACATTGAACTCAAATTCCTGTGTTATAGTTTCTCCCAGTTTGTTTGTAGCATTTCATATATTACGATTTCCTATGTAAAATCGTGATATGTTATGACCTGTTTAGTCTTATCTTTATATACTAAGATATCTGAGGTTTAAACAAGCATGTAAAGGTTTCCTGGTTCAGAAATGGCCTTCAGTGACAGGAATTGCTTGTCTCCCCTCGTCCCTCCCTTCGTGTGTCCCGTATTTATTTTATTTAAGATGTATCCACTGTGTATCAGGATTCCCTAAACTCTGCAATGGCGGTAGAAACATCCTGGTCAGATGATGAATTTGATGATAATACAAGGGGAACTGGTGTGTTCTATCCATATTTGGGGCTAACTGACAGGGTTGATGAAGAAAGCAATCATGTCCCCATTGATCCAATCCTCCCTGATGATCTTCAGGAACGAATAATAGCCTCTCTCCCATTAGAGTGCATTTTAAAAGCATGCTGTGTTTGTAAAAAGTGGAATGAGATTGTGCACTCAAAAAGATTTATGTTGAACATCTCAAGTGTCTTATCACAGAAACCCTGGTACTTCATGTTTACCAGCTCTGATGAACCCGTTGGATATTTCTATGACCCTTTGTTGCGTAAATGGTACAGCTCCGAACTCCCTTGTAATGTAAAGCACAACTGCTATATTGCTTCATCTTCTGGTTTAGTGTGCTTCATGGATAATTATAGCAGGAATGAGCTATATGTTTGTAACCCGCTTGCTAGGAACTACAAGAAAGTGGAACCTTTGGGTGACCGATTCTTTGATTACAGAGCTCTTGCGTTTTCAGTGGACTGGCTATCACACAGTTATACTCTTGCTATTGTAGGATCGGAACAAATCTCTGGGGATGAATGGGATATTTCGATTCACATTTATAATTCAAACAAAATGGTATGGCAATCTCCTGCTGCGAAAACTTTTACCAGGTGGAGAGCAGGATATGATAGTGTAATCTGTGATGGGGTTTTGTATGCCCTGTTTTATTATACTGGAACGGATGAGACTGAGGATCGCCATGCCTTGTTGACTTATAATATTTGTAGCCCATCTTACGAGGATATATCAGTTGCTACTAAAATTCCAGTTCCTTGCTTTGTCACTTGTGGACGGCTGATGAACCTCTCTGACAAGCTTGTAATGGTGGGAGGTATAGGGAGACAAGATCGTCCAGGCATAATAAAGGGAATTGGCATTTGGGTTCTTAGAGGGATGGAATTGGAAGAGGTATCCCGAATGCCTCATAAGTTTTTTCAAGGATTTGGAGAGATAGATGATGTGTTTGCAAGCAGTGGTGCTGGTGATCTTATATACATACAGAGCTATGGAGCAACAGCCCTTCTTGAGTTTGATATGACCTTGAAACAATGGGATTGGTCACATAAATGTCCTGTGACTAAGAAGTTCCCCCTTCAGCTTTTCTCAGGTTTTTGCTTCCAACCGCGGCTTGAAGTTTCACCCTAACTGAGCATCCTCATCTTTCGATTTTACAAGGTGGTGGTGATAAATTTTTCCCATGCTCTCTTTATTCTTCAATTAATCCTACATTAAAGGAAATGCCATTCATAAAATTTGCAATAGCAGTTTTTCTTCTGATAATGTTCTTGTTTAATGAAACGGGTACCCTTTCCTAACTGTCTTTAAAAGTAAGCATTCTTCCATTTTTCAGTAGAGAGGTAGACATTGGTATTATTTCATCTCATACTTGTCTAGTGCTGGATTTGGACTATCAGGTCTTGCTGCTCTCTCCCATTGGGTTTTCGGTGGGTTGGGTGGGAAGAGAGTTCAGAATGGCTGGTTCCTGTTCCCACGATGTTTAATAGGACAAATTAGCAAATATATGCATACTGATAGATGATTGGTTAATCTGAGAATTATTGTGAAAATAGTGTATGAAATGACGAGCCATGGTAATGTTTGGCAGCACTGTAGCATTTGGGGGGCTCGTTGGTGTCAACGTTTGGGTACATGAGAAAAAAGAACATGTTAGAAATGTTTGAAATATGCCTCTGAGAATTCATTTGTACCTGGAGTCCTGCTTTTTTTAATATGTGGCATGTGACACAACTAGATTTCATTTCTTATTATATACCCCCCCAGGTTCAAAAATTATTTACCAAAACTATATTTTAAAAAACCACGTTAAGGACTATGTTGGAACAGTTAATAACAAGGTTGATGCGGAGATGTTCCTCTGAAAAAGGGTTAATCTCATTTTGTACTCTGAAATATTGTTCGAATTTTAATTTGTACCTTTAAAGATTAAAAATCTCAATTTGTATCCTCAAAGATAGAAATTTGTATCAATATGTATTTCAAAGATCAAAAATCTCAATTTACACCTTCAAAGATAGAAATTTATATCAATGTGTATCTCAAAGATCAAAAATTTTAATTTGCACCCTCAAAGATAGAAATTTGTATTAATGTGCACCTAAAACTAAATTGATAAATTATATCTAGATCCCCTTATACTTGTCACTTAATCATTTAGACATCTTCACATTTAGAATATTACTTCTACATCTTATGACATTTGTGCACGTATAACACGTAACTCATTTTCATTGATATCTATTAATATAACCGTTAAAAAATATAATTTTATCCTAATAAAAAATTATAATTTCATATAACCCTTTATTTTATGGGTTTAATATATTCTAAAGTTCAAAATATAATTTCATATTACCCTTTATTTTATGATTTTCAACTTTAGAGTATATTGAATCCACAAAATAAAAGGTAATATGAAATTATAATTTTTTATTAGGATAAAATCATATTTTTTAACGATTATATTAACAGATATCAAAGAAAAGTGGTTATGTGTTACACATGCACAAACGTCATAAGATGTAAGGGGAATATTCTAAATGTGAAAGAGTTTAAATGATTAAATGACAAACATGAGGGGATCTAGGTATAATTTATTAATTTAATTTTAGGTGCACATTGATACAAATTTTTATCTTTGAGGGTGTAAATTGAGATTTTTTATTTTTGGAGATGGACATTGATATAAATTTCTATTTTTGAGGGTATAAATTAAGATTTTTGATCTTTAGGGATGTAAATTGAGATTTGAACAATTTTTTAAGGTACAAAATGAAATTAACCCAAAAACAAATGTCTTTGGATTCTAATTTGGGTGGGTGGCGTTCAGGTAGGTTTTTTTGTTTCTATGTTTAGAGGTAAATCTTAGGATTTTGTGATTTACTGAGGGTAAAAAACCATCAATTTTCTCCTTTCTGTCAATTTCTTTGATTTCACACTTGACCCAATCTGCTGTAGCCACATCCCTATCTCTAATTATAGGGCTGTTAATTGATTTGACTTCCTTGAGCTCGATCCGTACAAAATTTATCCATGTTTAACTTATTTTTTTAAACGAGATAAATTTAAATAATTATTTAAATTTGTTTAAAAAGTAAATTTAAAAAGTTCGTCACAACATCATAAAGGTCGCTTGTTTACGTATAAAGCTCGACTCAAGTTTGCTAAGTTGGGACTTGACTTATTTTCCAAATGAACAGAACATCAATAATTTTTTAAATTCGTTTAAGAAAATAAGTTCGATAAGCTCAGTTGAAGCTTGATTATCTGTCCTACTCTCATGTTATACTCTCTTAATAGTGGACAAAGATAATATTATTTTGAAATAATGTAAAATTATATATTCTCAAATTTTATCTGCATTCATGTAAAAATACGGGGTGAAGAATTGAAATTCTGTTGTTATTTATTTTTTTTTGGACTCATTATAGCTAATTCGACGAAGTTTTACATTGATCATCGATTAACTAATGTTATTTTCCTCTTTTATTCTTATTGAAGACAAACATCATTAAATACAACACTGACAAGAGTTATTGTTATTCATCTTCTCTTCCGAAAAAATACTATAAAAAAATAAGTGAATTTGATATTTATACTACCATTTAACCAATGGTGTGTTTGGTACAAAGAAAGTTGAGTGGATGGAAAATGAGAGGAGGGGAAAGTATTTCATCTGTTTGGTTCCAATGGAAAAGGCAATGGAAAGGAAAAGACGGTGGAAAATGAATCCCTCCCGCTCGCCATTTCTTATCCGCCCAGTTTTGGGCGGAAAATTGGAGAGAGAAAGGCAGGCAGTCTTTTGGTTGAATAAAATAATTTATTAATTTACCCTCCTTGCATCAGTGCCCTTAAAAGGTGTGCAGAACATTTCAAGACACATCTCCACTATTTTTTTTTATGGGAAAATTTCAACCACACTTCCTCTAGTTTATCATATCTTCAAAGACACCTCTTCTAATTTTTGAATCTTCAATGACATCCCCTATCAGATTAAAAATATTCAGTAGAATGCAATTTTATTAAATTGCCCATGATATATTTGAGGATAAATTTCATTCATACTCCATCTAGATAATCATATCTTCAATGAGATCCCCTCTAGATAACCCCATTTGTTTTCTAATTATTTTTACCTAATTAAATTCGAACCGATTAAAATTCGATTCAAGTTAATTAAAATTTATTTTTTTACATATTAAAATTTGTGCCAATTAAAAATTATATTTTTTTACTTATTAAAATTTGGGCTAATTAAAATTTTGTATGAGCCAATTAAAAAATATTATTAATCAACTCAAATCAAATTTTAATTAATTCGCATTGAATTTTAATCAGCCCTAATTTTAATATATAAAAATATATTAATTTTAATTGACTTAAATTTTAATAAATCGAATTTTAATTGACAGAAATTTTAATAAGTAAAAAAATATAATTTTTAATCGATTCGAAAGAAAATTTTAATCGGCACTAACAACTCGGGTAAAGTTCAAATCAGTTCAAATTTTAATATGTAAAAAATAAATTTTAATTGAGTCGATTTTTTTTTAAATTTACGAATTAGTAAATAACAAATTACTATTTACTAACAAATTATTTACTAAAATTGTTATTTATGAATTTTTTTTAAAATTTTAACAGCTCGAATTTTAATAAAATTTTATGTAGAAAAATTACTTAAAGTTATGTAGGGGCATTTTTGGTATTTTAGATGAATTTGTTTTGTTAGAAATTTTAGTTTAATAGAAAAGGGTATGAGTGATGTTTAAATTAAATTAGAAGGGGTGTCATTAAAGATTCAAAAATTAAAGGAGGTGTCCTTGAAGATATGATAAACTAGAGGAGGTATGGTTAAAAATTTTCCTTTTTTTAACTGGTGACACATTTCTACCTATTTGAGGTTTACTTGCAGATGTTATCCACGTGGAAATGGGTAGGTATTAATTGGGATTGCTTAATTAATTGTTTTAATAATAATTTTTCTTAAACTTCCACAAATATTTTGTTTTTTCAGCCCGCCTTATTTCCAAAATTTATTGAAAAGTTTATTTGCAATGGAAAAGAACTTGGTATATTTAAGGGTAAAATGGTAAAATAAATTCATATTTATTTTCTTTCCTTTTATTTTTACTTTGATATTAAACAAAGAAAAATCAATCATTTCAACTTTTCATCCATCGTACCAAACAAAAAGGAGAGAAAATGTGTTTCTTTCCTTCATGGATAAAGAGTTTATTTATCCTAATTTTTATTTTCTCCTATTTTTCATATTTCATACTAAACAGACCACAAAATAATGAGACAAAATGGAGAACTCATTCTTTCTTAAGGTTTTATAAAGGATGAAAAGTAAGAAGAATAAAAAATATGAGAGATACACTTTTTATTTTCTAAACAAAAAAATATAAATGATATATTTTGCTACCTTTGTGCGGTGATAGGATAGATGAAAAATAAAAAATAATTAATTTTTTTTTGTGGTTGGTAAGATGGAAAAAAAAAATTTATTTTTTTATTTTTAAAATTTTTTATATAAAATTAATGTATATATAATATATAATTGATAAATATAATATATGTATATATCAAAGAATATATAAAAAAAATAATTAATTGTTTATCCATTTTTTTTTAATTTTAAAGGGATTGATTTTGGTGAGTTGAAAGAAAAATTCATTCATCTATTTTTTTATCTTTCATATTTTTTTTTTTAAATATGATATTTTTTTTTTTTTAATTTTTAATTTTTATATTTTTCTATCGTACTAAACTAAACATAAGCCTTGGTACTTGAAAAATAAAATAAAATAAACAAAACTACTTAAATTTAGCGCAACAAACAATGGTTGGCATGCAAAACTGCCAAAAATTCGTACGGTTACATCTGTACAATGCCCCACATGGGCAATGGGGCCCCTACGAATGATTCAAGCACTCCCTCTTTAAACACCCCGACGAAAAACACCACCATCACCACCAGAAAAGGTACACAAATTCACGGCACAAAAGTAAACAAGAAAGAAGAACAAGCAGATCGAGATGTGGCAGACAGAAAAAGGCTAGTGGAAGTCCATATATATATTTATAGAGAGAGAGAGAGTGTCCGTGTGTGTGTGTGTGTGTGT